TTATATGGATTATTGGAATAGGTAGCTACTTTAAAAAAGAGAATAGTGATTTGTTGTTCTTCAATAATTTTAAAAATAATTGACCAAAAAATGTAAAAAGGAATTTTGAATAGGAGTGATGGGTATCTAGTTGCATTAGTTCTTTTAATATAATTATATGTATAAATAAGGGCAAGGCTGTCTGTGTGTATAGAAATAGAAGAAGTTGAAGGACTAATTAAAAGAACCAAAAGGAAAGCAAAAATTTCAGCATTAGTAGAATTAGCCCAAATAGTAGAGACAGCTGTTGAGAATTCTATTTTATATTTTTATATACCAAACAAAATGCAGAGCTTAAATATGATATCGATAGTGAAGGAACAAATTTATGGGATCTATCTGTATAAAAAATAAGTGATTTTTCATTTTGTAAAACATGGTAGAATTCTAGTAAAGATAATCTGACTCTATCAGTTAAAATGATATTAGGAATGCTAACAAATGATAGGACATTAATAATAAGATCATTTAAAATAATAGCTGGAGGGTATATTGTTAAATAGTGCTGTTTTGCCTGATCCATAATGGACCAGATATTTCGTTTGAGAAGATATAATTTTTTGTCATTAACTGAAGTGAAATATGTAATATCTATAATTTGAGGGAGGTCATCATCAATAACGTTACTGTAAAACTAAGTAGTAACTGTTGCGTTAAAGTTTAAAATAGATTTTGATAAGTTAAAAGAACACCCTGAACAGGAAGTGAACATGTTTTATTTCTTTGACACTGATTGAGGATCATGGTTAAGAACTGTATTATTAATGTAATATTGAATAGTGACCTTATTAAAAACAAAATGTGATCTTATGGCTTTTCTAATGATATTTTGATCAGAATATGACAAATTATAATAATTGTAATCTGGTGGATTTTTTTTTTTTTGTAATTATTAAATAATAAATTATTTTAAAAAGTTGAAAAATTGAAAAATTAATATATATTAATAATTAATAATTTTAAAATTTAAAATATTATTGTTAAATATATATTAATATGACAAATTTAATAAATTTTATTTTATTTTTTTTTATGATTATTAAATATTAAATATTATAATTTTTTTACAATGTTTTATAATCAATTTTATACATTGTTTTAAGGGATAAAGTAAAAAAATTTTTTGGTAAATTTCTCTTTTTTTACTACAAAACATTTATATTTTTATAATATATTATTTTAAAATTAGTATTAAAAGAAACGTATCAATACTTTTTATCTATAATAAAGCTTATTAAAAAGAGTTATTAATCAGAAAAAATAATATTAAATATGTATTATATTTGCATATATGCAAATATATATTTAATTATAATCTATTTATGCATTTTAGTATTATAATTTTAAAAAAATAAATAGTCTATTAGATAGGTAATATAATATCTAATATTATTTAATATTTATAATTTTTTATTATCTAATTAGTATTTTTTAACAGACTCTTTATATAGTAATAACTGGCATATAGAACTTAATTATTTAAAATTATTTAATACTACACTTTTTTTGATAAGCTATTAATATAAATTAATAATCATCTTCATTTTTTAAAATGTCTATTATATGGTTCTTTATAATAGAAAGAAAGAAAACTACCAAAAAAAATTTTTTTTTACTTTATAAACTAAATATTATTTTTTTAATAAAATAAGTTCAAATTTAATATTAATTCAAAAAAAATTTTTTGGTAGTTTTTTCTCTTTCTATTACAAAGAGCTCATATATTATTTCTAAAGAAACAGTTGGTAGTTTTGCTACCTATAATAACAATTTTAACTTAAAGAGTTATTTTAAATAATTTATTGATATTAAAAGATGTGAAAAGAAAAGTAAAAATAGAGTTAAAACCTTTTTCAAAAATTACTTAATCTAATAAAAGATAAAAACTTGTCATAAAATATATTAGGATTATTAATAAAATTTTATTGCAATACATATAATCAGCAGAATTCTTTTAAAATATTATCAAATATTTATAATACATTATCAAAAACTTTAATAGAATTTTTAAAGGTTAATAAATTTGATAGATTAAGAATCAAAGAAGTAATTAAATTAACATTTTTAGCTAAACAAATTAGATTAACAAAAAATAGAAAATTAGTGAGATTAAAAGATAATTGTTGTATTTATTATAAGAATTCAAATATTTAAATAATAAGCTAATTGTTTAGCATAGATTTTTTTTATCATACAAGTATTTGAAAGTAATAAAAATGTTATGTAAGATGTTAATAGTATGTTTATAATTATTTCCAATTGATGCAATAGGACTAAATATAAAACTTCTTTTAGTAATATTATCCTTTGAAATATTTTATGAAACTTTTAACATTTTATATTTTTCACCTTTATTTTTCTTATTAAATAAAGAAGAATAAGATATAATATTAATTAAAGTGTAAAATGTAAAATATTAACTGATTTGACTATTCTAATTAATAAGTTTATTGAGTTGAAATGCATAATTATATTTGTTATTTTCATTTTTGAATTGTAAATCAATATCAAGAAATCTAGAAAATGATTTCATAATAATTTCTATGTAGTTTAATTTATCTAATCGTGATTTTTTTAAAATGAGAACTGATATAATGATTACAAAAATATGTGATAAAGAAGAATATCTAGTGTGATTAGATCTATTATAGTTGAGTTGATATTTGAGATCATCTTTTTTTAATAGGAGTTGTATATCATTTAAGAATTTCTTAAGAGTATGAATAGAGTCTTTGATCAATTATATATTAATATCAATGTTTTTGAACACATCATCTATCTGTATATCTTATATAATATTATTGTTTATTATTATTTTAAACATATTAATTATTTAATAATTTGTATTGTAAGTCATTATTATTATAATTTGATTATATAATATTAATATTTTTTATTTATACATAAATCATGTATTCAATTAAAATTTAAAAGTAATTATGAGATTATTTTTAACTATCAAAAAATATTTTATAATGTAATTTAGATGTAAATTTATTTTATAATTTTAAAATTCAAATTTAGAATAATTAAAAAATTTATTATAAATATAATTTTATACTTATTAATAAATTTAGATTTAAATAAAATATTAAATATAAAGTAAATTAATTTATTTATTCTTTAGTCTTATATTTAACAATATTTTATATATATTTAGATGGTCTTTTAAAATTTAAAATTTTTTTTTTTTTATTATATTATATTAGTATTTCAATTTTTTTCTATAAAATTTTGATAAAATTAAAGTATAGATATATTTTAATTATTTTTTAAAATTTCTAAAAAAATAAAATTTAAATAATAAAAACTATTAAAAGTTTTGAATTTAATAATTATAAAAGAAATTATTCATGTAAGTATTATATAGATTATATTATTTTTTTCATTTTATTTAAGATAAATTAATAACAAAATCATCTATAATATATAAATAAGTCAAATAATTATATATATGAGAACTTTGTAATAGAAAAAAAGGAAATTACTAAAAATTTTGTTAAATTATATTAAAGCTAGACTTATTTTCTTAAAAAAATCATATTTAATTCATTTTGATAAACCTTTATTTTTTATTATAAAATATTATATAATTATTTGTTAATTAAATTATTATTTATAAACAAAAATTTTTTTAGATAAAATATTAAAGATTTATTATAAAAAATTGTAAATAAAATATCTTTTATATAATATATTAATTGAAAATTATTATTACTTTAAAATTAAATTATTATTAATAAGAATAATAATAATATTTTATTTATTTATAAATTATTCTAATAATAAAATATTTTCTTTTTACTTTTTAAATTAAATTTTTAAAACTTATATACATATGTACTTTACAGTAGAAACTACTAAAATCTTTTTTACTTTATAAGCTAAATATTATTTTTTAACATTAATTTAGTAATTTCCTTCCTTTCTATTATGAAGCACTAATATATATATATATATATAAATAAATGAATTTATATTTTTTTTAATATTTTTTAATTTTTTTTTTTTATAAAATATTATAGTAAATTTAAATATAATTATGATAGATTTTTTATTATATTATTTTTATATTAAAGAAGTTTTAATTCTATTATTTTTGATAATTATAAAATAGAATAATAATATTTTTCTAATATTATATTTATAGCATATTAATATATTCTTATTTTAATATTAGCTTAAGAATCCTATAAATTTATTATATTTGATTTAATAATTATAAAAATTAATAAAAACAAATATAAAATTATGAGTAATTCACAAAAATTATAAAAAAAAAAAATTCTAATAATTAAATAATAACTATTAATTCTAATAAAATATATAAACGCATTAAATAAACATAGATTAGAAAAAAGTATTTTCTTCAATATTTTTTTCTACTAATCTCTTTCTCCAAATAATGAAGATGAATCTCAATATATCTAAGTTTTTGCTTAAATAAATATACTATTACTGCCAGTCTGGAAAATTTTACAAAATCAATAATTGACACTGTTCATATTTCATTTTTATAAAAATTAATTTAATTTTATTAACTTCATTCTTCATTGTATTTAAATATATAAATTTCGGCAAAGAATGACGCAAATGAAAAAAAATAATGATCCGACACGCTATAATAATCAAGTTTGAAAAAAAAAAATTCCGTTACATAAAAAAGAACATGATTCAATTTTAGCAGGGAAATTATTTGGACCTATATTGCGCACACCATATATAAATAAATTTGTTAATAATTTATTAATATCATTGAAATTTGCCCAAAAATCAGGATCAACTCACCAATATAATCAAGAGACGGAATAAAACATTATTGCTGCCTTTCTCAACTTTTTTTTTTTTTTTTCACGAAAAGGAATTCTACAAGAATTAAACAGATCACACTTAGCTTCACTTTTTCTTGTCGATGTTGACTTTGTCTGGATCAGAGTTATTAATCGTCGTTATTTATCTTGTTATTTTTTTTTTTCAACTTCTACACTTCCAGTTATATGATGCTTCAAGAGGCCTAATTCAGATTCATTCACATAATAATTTTGACATATAACACAATATTTCTTTTTATCACGGGATCTAATTAAGGGTACCTAAAAACAGGAACGAACACCGTTAATTTATTACATAAATAAATTCTTTAAAAGTACGAAAAAAAAAATTCTACAATGCTTACACCATAACATGTAACATTTAAACAAATTTGATCGATTAGAGCCCATCCTTGTAATAAATGTTGAGCAATTAATTGTGAGGCACGCTGAGATTGATCACGTCGAAATTGTTGCATTTGAATCTCATCATATTGTGAAGGTGGCGGTATTGAATTTTGTTGAACTGAATCTACTTTATCATCATCATTATTAATTTCATTTACAATTGTAACTGGTGGTAAAATATTAGGTTGTTGCTTCGTTTCTGATTTTGAATTTCCAGGTTCTTTATCGCACAAAACGCAAAACCATACTGTATTATCTTTGGAACGTAATAACGGAACCTAAAATACCATAAATTAATTATTTAATTTATTGATGCGAGGTTGTTAAACAAAAAAAAAAGGCGCAAAATAAACACATTGCAATTTTGTATAGGACAGACGGTATTAGTCATGACCTAAATTATCCCACGCCCACGAAAAATAATAATACATTAGCATATACTTAATCTAATCACTATAGTATAAAGAAAAAAATAATTACCCAACCGGCTAAAAGGTATTTACCCATAAGGTTCGAAGCACGATCCATTTCAGTATCCATTAATGCAGAAAACTTAATAATCAATTTTGACTCGTCTTAATTGAGGGAGATAGATAATCTTTGATCTTCAAAAATCCGAATGATTATTAAATAATTATGTAAAATAATCCGGTTACACGGATTCATGACACGTGAGAGTATGTATTTAATCACGTGATTAAAGATACAATTACCAAATTGATTTATAGAAATTTTCTGATCCAAAATCATCTTGATATCGTTAAAGGAATATATAGAATTTTATTATATTTATTTTCTCTTTTCTCTTCAAGATTCTTGAGGTTTAAGTAATATTAACAAAAGTTTGAGTTCAAGCTGTCATATTTAAATCAGATCAAAATTTTTTGGATATCATACTATAAATAATATGCTATTTTCACATTTATAAACTATATTTACAGTATATTAAAAGAAATCAAAATTATCAAATTATTATTATATCTTGGCATTTTTTTCCAAATAACAATTTCATTATCTTTTAAAAATAGAAGTTACTATCTGTATGATCATGGCTAAACAAAGAATGGTTGATTAATTGATTATAAAGATTTAAATTTTGTATTTTTTTTTTTTTTTTTTTTAATGATTTCATATTCGATTTGAAAGATTTTATCAAGATTAATCTCAAATATCAAAAAAAAAAAAATATAAAAAAATATCAATAAAATAAAAAAAGGAAAAAAAAAGATGACATCAACGTACATCAAAAACATGTGATTTTAAAAAGAAAAAAGAATTTATTTTTTATCTTTTTCATTGAATCCAAGTTTAGGTGATTTGTTGATAATGGTCAGAGCACACATGCGTAAATGTTTGAAAACGTTTTCACGTTATCAAAAAAAAAAAAAATCTCCTTTTTTTTTTGCTCAAAGATTTTTCAGATTAAAAAAATTTGTTTCGGAAGAACATGATCTCCTTTTTTTAACTATAAAAGTTAAATAAAACCGAGAATGAAGATGTACGCCCAAATCCCTGAAATCTAAAACAATAAATTGGATTGATTTTTTAAATATACTATATATACTATTTGTTTATAGTAAACATTTAATATAAATAGATATGCATTCTTTTTTGGATGCGCACATTGCCTTTTTTTGTTACTTTTTAGTCTTCATATAAAGTGATTAACCAGTGATTTTGAATGGGAATCGGAAAAAAAAAAAAAATTAATTGTCGCGGTGGTGATACTGGTGATAACTCATGTGTTCAAAATTTTCGCGTGACATCATGATTTTTTAAAGGTCGTCACTTGTCAGATTCTCCATCAAATCCTTACCAAAAGGGTAAGAAGGTAATCTAAATGTTTCAAATTTATTCAAGTGCATTTTCTAAAAATATCAACCACCACAAACGTTATTGCCATATACGCTTATGTGAGAAAATGCATCACATTTAAAATAAAATGCACATTTCCTGACTTTCGCGTTGGGAAACAATACATTGTAATCATGATAGTGGCCAAATTAATATTTTGGGAATCAAACAATGGAATTACTAATCATGTATCACACATTATATAAGCTTCTCTTGATGCAATGTTTTTAAAGTGACAAAATTTCCTTTATGATTCATATGATAGTTATGATGTTGAGACAAAGAAATCGCTGGAGGCGGCGATCATTTGTCGCTTGTGTGCATGCATTTTTATTTTGAAATCGCCCAACAAAAAAAAAAAAATCAAAGTTGAATGATAAAGCAGGAAACTTAATAGGGGTTTGCATCAGAAGGAAAGAATAGTTGAATTAGGATTTTCCCCGTCCCACCCCGGAGAAACCTGTCGAGTTTGCTGCGCCACTTTAATGATTCATGTGATGCCCTTCGACTTTTATTTCTTTATATCATGGATTACCGAATGGCGCATTTACACATAAGAAAGAAGACAATATTTAATAACATCAATTAGAATATTTCATAAAAAGAAAGGAGGACGCAAGACATTCGAACAAATTTTAACGATCGTTTTTTGTTAATAGATGATATTGTACTCAAAAATCCATTAAAGTATTAACAAGTCGTAGTGCTGACCAAAATTAACTAAAAAACCGCAGAATGAGTTATCACATGAGAAATTTTATGCCGCAGAAGAAAATCTTTACCGCGGCTTTTCCGAAAATTTCCCAAACGTTATTTATTGAATAGCATCCGTTCTTTTTTTTTTTTTAAACAATTAATTTTCCCGAATATTCATTCATGTATTCAAAAAAAAAAAATTATTACTTTTAAAAAAATGCACAAATAACTTATTATCCCAGCTCATTCAATCCCATAGTAAATAATAAGGTGTCAGTAGACTTTGTGAAAAAAAAAAAAACTGATTATTCTAAAGAAATCTGCATGCACACAAGTGGAAAATAAAGAACAAAATGATCATCAATAAAAAATACGCCTTTTCATTTTTTCAAATAATTTATTTCTTTGTCTTTATTTCTTCCTAACTAAATATCTTCCTATCAAAGTACTTACAATAATGAGAAAAGGTTTGTGATACGATGTGTTACGATTATGTGTTTGACAGCTCATGACAGCGTCGTCGATCCTTCGGCGCAGCTATGGAGGATTTGAAATGTTCAAAGCGGTTTCTATTCAAATGAATATACCCTTTTTTCTACTGTAAGCATATTATTTTTTTTTTGAAAAAAAAAAAAAAAAAAAAATTAAAATACACATGAAGAAGAAAAATTTTCAACGAAAGCGAACAATGTATCCTTTCTTAAATTCAAACATATTAGAACAATGGAACTAAAAATTCTGTGTACGAAAATTGCTCCTAAACTGCCCGTTTCCTATTAAAGTTGAATAAAAAAAAAAAAAAACTCATAAACCAAACTTTCTCGTTTAAATAACGTTAATGATTTTTATTTTTCTTTGTTTAGTCAGAACCATATGATTTAGATTCGAAAAATCTTTTTTTTCATTTGATACCATTCATCACCCCCGTGATGAATAAATATGAACTGCGGCAACATCATTTTAAACATGGGCAATCTTTTATTATGGTTTGATGGATCAAGGACAAAGCGTAAAATAAAGCGAATTTTCCCGGTTCATAAACAACGAGATCAATCATAGGGAAAGAGCAAGGTTCAGAGATCAAACACGACCAAATCACAGATTTTTATGTATAAACAAAAAGGCAGACGCCGGGTGTCTTTATTTGTTGTAGTTTTATATACTGTTTAACCATACGATGATATTTTGGGACTAACTGGTGACGATTTAACCATAGCACTAAGTGGGTTTAGGCGGAACCATAAGCAATGATTTTGGCGTGCATCTAAGCTAATTAGGAATGACTTTGGGGTAAAAAAAAAATAATAATGATAATACAAAATAGCTTTATAGATATGCATAATTTGATAATTTGCCAGTTCCCATTGTCGAGAAGAAAAAAATTATTGGGTTCAGCCTTAAAATATTCACGTGACGCAAACCTTAATGCCCTTTTTTATTGGCGCAGAAATCCTCTTCGATTTAGGAAGGAGGTACCGACATCGACATTACTTACCGATGCTTGTGAGCTCTGGCCACCCGAGAACTGACATCAAAATACATCATACTTTATCAATTATAATGTGAAAAAAAAATCTATCTTGATTCGGTAAAACTGGAATCTTAACAAGTTATTCGACAGTCTGTACGAGTCAGGTTTGTTTTAATAACAGATTGACACAATCGGTTGGAATACAATAGGGGCACACACACGCACTTTGGAGAAAATAAGAAAACGTTTTGTTTTCAATTTATAAAGTTTAGTACCTCCGAGGTTTAGTTATTCCGATTCCATATTATGTGAATCACGATGTTTGACAAGCAACCTGCGAAACTCTTGTAATAATACCACATTCCTTTTTGGGTCTTAAACCTGTTATTGAAATTTTGGGATAATGAAATCTATTGTTTTATTCTTACGCCTTTAAAAAAATCTGTGTGTCGTTGTCATCCTGTATTTCTTGATGAAAAAAAAAAAAATTTTTTTTTCTTCAAAAAAAATTTTTTAAAGGTTTAAATTATTTTTTTTCCATCAAAAAAAAAAAAATTTTTTTTAAGGTATATATTATTTTCCATCAAAAAAAAAAAAAAACATGTGAGATCTCAAGAGCAGTAACTGTTTAAGGAAATGGATATTCATATATCAAAAAAATCAATTGTGATTGACCTGCATAAATGAAAAAAAAAAAAAAAATAAATTTTTTCATGAATTTTATTTTGATAGGAATCCAAAAGTTGATTAAAATGAACTGAGGAACTTTAACAATATAATCAGGTATAATACGAAATAGTGTGGGGTACATAAGTTTTTTTGATTACTCACCATCCTAACCGATTTGTGGGTAACATACTGTATATATTTTTTTTTTTTTTAAAAAAAAATCTCATCAAATAAAATTTTTTTTTTTTCCTTAAAAAAATCACAAGTTTTTTTCAAACTCATTGTCTCTAATTCAGTCATCTCATGCAAGCGGAAGCAACATTACAAATGATATGAAAGGTTAGGGTTATTTTTAGCTTTAATCTGACATGATTTTTTTTTTCTTTGCGTTTGTTACGAGATCTATTTTTACAAAAAAATGCGGGTTTCTTTTTTATTCTAATCAGAAAGAAAATCCGGAGAAAGCCTCTGTTTATTCAATGACGACGGCAGGATTCATGTTTTATTGTTGTGACTTTCAAATAACAAAAACATTGTGGAGTGAAGAATTGTTTATTGCGGAGAAATGTCGTTAGCTCGCTAATAAAGTTTAGGTGTGTTTAGGTTTCCACACATCACTAGATCTCGACCGCAGCAAACCTAATCACGTGAATCATTTATTTATATGGATCAAATTTAAAGTTTGTTAATATTAACTTTAAAGTGAAATTCTGAATGCAAATAGAAGAAAGAAGAAAATGATTGTGTAAAAATCTATTGTTCTTGCTCGCAGCATTCGTTGATTTAAAAATATGAAAATTCTCGCAAATGGCTATCTGACAACGCATACATACATATACGCATACATAGT